CGTTCCAAGGTCAGCCCGTTTAAGGTATGATATGTACGATGTACGACTGTAGTGGTGTAATGAGTTTCTTATAATCAAGTCACTTACCTATCATCATCTTCCTCTTCTTCTTGAGGTTCCTCTCCTATCGGAGGTTGGACAACATCATAGCAATCCTGACTTTAAAGAGAGAGGTGGTACTGCAGCCGAACCATTCCCTTAATTTTTTCAACCAAGAGTGCTGCCTTTCACTGACACTTCTTTCCCAGCGATTTATGCTCTGTATGATAAGCTCGAAAAATTTCTTACTTGTTGTTCCTCATAACGTAACTGAAGTGCGACATCTTCCTGCACGTAATTGTGCTCTTAAGCTCGTCATCAGTTTATTGAGTACTACCATCATCACCGGGAGATTTTCACCGCTGCAGTGCTGAAGGTTCCTCAAAGACTATCACAACAAAGTACCTGGGCGATCTGTATCCAACGGTTCCCCAGAACTCTCAACTCACTGTAGTTAACAGTCAGTTCTCCATGAAGAAGCATAAACAGGAGAATGACAGTCGACACCCGACCGACCGACGACAATGAAAGCCGCAACAGTTTCTGTGTACCACAGTGCTATGCAATGCAAGTCACCACTGGACTGTCACTTAGTGTGTACTATGGAAACATAAAACCACATCACCTGGTTTCATTATACCTCAAGAGCAACTACCATCAGGTTGCGATCTGCTGTGGCACGTGTGGAAGTCCTTGAATCGATTTCGCACAGGTAGGTCGCAGCAGAGAAAAGATATATAAATGGGCTCAAGAATGCTAGTCTAACCAAATGTGATTGCGGTGCTTCAACACAGTTCATGCAGAACTTGCTCGTATGCCCTAATATCTGTACAAGAGAAGATCTCTACGCCGCCACGGATAGCGCAGTCGAAGTGGCTACATAAATATGCTATTCGTAGTCAATATTGTCCTAAAATAAAAGAAACATCGGCACGATAAGAAGAATACTAGTTAACAGTATTTATTGTTGCTCAGAACTGAGTAATAAATAGTTATGTCAAATTTAATATTGCAAAACATTAGCAACTATAAGCAGAAGGCATTTATGCACTCCTTAAATCTGTGGTTGCCACTCGATAGCGTTTTCTATTATTTTATCCGTACTCTCAAAACACAACGTAAACAAGGAAACGTATACAAACAAAGAATGCATAATCTACATTATTAACAAGAATACAATACACAATTGTAACAAATATAGAAAGTGCAAGAAATATAGAAATGCAAATATGCAAAAAAATACAGAATGTATTTATGTGGTTTGTGTGCTGAATTTACGACCTATTCATTCACTAGACAGTTTTACTGAGAACTGATCTATCTGGAGATAGGCTAGATTATAACAATATACAGAACTATTTACCTAAAATTATTCTGATTATTTATTAAAGCCAATTAAACATTCATGTTTGTTATTTGAAAAATCACGTACGTAAAAAAATAGGTCCCAATTTTTTATCGGTGTCCTTACGTCCAAGCTGTTACTGTTATCAGGGAAGTGTTTGGTTTCACTGCACAGACTTAGGCTGAGATTTATAAAACAAATTTTGTATTCGACTAAGAAAAAATTGCCATCTAAGCAAGGTTTTCATTATTACAAAACGAATTTCAAACGAAGAAACAAGAAATTACGAAGTTAATTCTATGTTCAATCTAATTTTTTGCTTAGTCAAAATCAAAGTTCGTTTTATATATCTCTGCTTTGACTTTGTACTCCTCAAGAAATTGGAAGGGCATCAAAATACATTAAAGAATTATCTTCGAACTTCATAAATTTGACCACGACTCTTAGTTTCGTGCACAACTTTGCCTTTGCTTGCTCTTCCATCGGCATCGAAACCTTCACGTTCTCTTCCTTCTTTACTGTACTGTTGTATTCCTTTACCTTAAAAAAGGCTTAGTCTTTCACTCTTCCCCTCAGACTTCTACACCATCGTTTTACCGTGTTTATTATCTGGTTCTGAAATTCCCTCCCTGATCCAACCGTAGGCCTGACTGGTAAAAATTTTTTCAAATCATAAATTTCATCTTTTGTCCCACACCATTTTCATTAATTTCAAAAATATATAAATAAAAGTTATTGCGTACTTTATATGCATACAATATTATTATTAATTTTCAGTATATACATACACGTATGCTTCATCTATAATCATCTTATTTTCTATATAGCGGAGATCACGAAATGGGTGCCTGCCAGTTCAATTGAAAAGAAGCCTGCTCGCAATAGTGTACTATTCATGTCCTTTATACATCTGGCGAACCCTGGGCAACAATCAGCGAGCACGTTACGCCGATTGGCAAATGCTTTCAGCACGATGGCAAATACGTCCCGCACTTCAGCATGGCGGCTACTACTAGTAACGCGGGTAGTGGCAATAACTTCTAGGCCACAAAATAATAGATGAAGAGAAGAGGATTATTGTTCTATGTGGTACTTTGTATAGTAAAATAATATTTCACTCGTTCATTCATATTTAAAATTTATAAAAATATAATATTCCAGGACAATTAAGTGAGATGGTAAAAAGTATTCTAAGTATTGCTTTGAAAAAAAATTATGAATACTTATGATATTGTACTAGCCCAATCAATCAATCTCAGTGATTCCCTTTGACGTGATACTGCCAACCATTTCCATTTATAATACCAAGTAACGGGGCGAACAAGTCGTGCTCCTGGTTGTAAGCGACACGCCTATCCATAACAGTAGCAGTGCCACTCATAGCTTTAAATCGCAAAGATCTTTGGATCTCTGCCACTGCGCCCGTTACTCTGAGACATAAGTTGACAAATCCCATGTGCCCATAATTTCACCACCCTTACCCTTCCGGAACGCAGTAACGCTCACATTACTGCTTGGCGGCAGAAATAGGTAAGGTAACAGTACTTCCGTGAACGAACTCTTTCACAAGGAGCTCTACTGCTGCTAAAAATGATGCCATCTAGGTAGCAGCAGCGGCGTCAACGTCGACATATCTGATTGATAAATAAAGAGGCGCAAGGGGCATAACTAGTTTGCAATTAACATATTACTATTAATTAATACTGTGAAGGAATAAACTTTTTCATAAATTTAAATAAATATTAATTTTGAATTGGCACATCTCTAACAGACGATATTGTTATACTGTATAGAAGTCAAACTCTTGAGTTTTTAACATGTCTAACATGTGGGTATTGATATTGAACATATTTAACATGTGGGTATTGATACTGAATTAAAATTTTAAATAACGCAACCGCAACTGAATATTACATAAGGTTAATCGTTAACAGAGGCTGAATCTCCTTTTCGAATATTTAAACGTACCACGTATTTGTATGTTTTATTGTGTAGGTGTTTGACTTTTTATTTTGTGATGTGAATTTTACCTCCGTGTATTGCTTTTGTGTGAGCAATACCCACAAATGACAGTGAGAAGGTTTATGAGGTTAATCAGATCAACACAATTGATCTACATAAACTCCACAGAGAACGCATGCACGACATGAATTGATAAGAAAACTTAATTGTACGAATTAATGAAATACTCTTATAATTCACTGGCAACACAGAAAAGTAACTTAGTTTGAAAATATTAAGTTAATATGCAACAGGCGGCCGTATTGCTATGAAGCAATTTCTTCCAGGCAACCTTCGCATTAAGAATGACCAAAGAATTTCTTCATAAATACATTGAATAATAAGTATTCATAAAATATATGTAGATATAGAACTCTGACATAGATACTTTGAACTCATAACAATAAATATATAATAATATTAAATACTTATATACTTTGGAAGGGAGGAAAATAAAATGTTAATACGGGAAATAAATAAAGGGGAGGACAAAAAAAGACGAAACTTAGAAGTTGGGGAAATAATCCTTGATACATTGTTTGAAGGAATCAAGAGAAGGGGTTTGTCGAATAGATTCAGGGAGGTAATTCCGCAGTCTAATCGGAGACATGGTAAAAGTTGAACCAAAAGTTGGAGGTATGGGAGAGGTATCTTTAGTACAATAGGTAAGCTTAATATGAACTCGTTCGTCATAGATTATAATATGTTTTAAAGACTAAATTCCATAAATTGACTTGATGAAATCATTCTCCGTAAATATTCACAAATAAATACTAAAACATGTTGAAAAAGTGGATCATTATGCCTTTAACCTTGCTCACATATGCATTGGGAAATACTATTGGAAATACATATGTCACGCATTATAGTGATTTATATTTAATAGGAAACCAAAACACGAATTTTATTCAAATTTATTGGCAATTTACCTTTTATAACAAACAATTAAACAATAAGTGTATTGCAGTCAACATTAGTATAACAAACTTACAGATATTACAAACTGTAAACGTTAGACTTGTAAAAAACAATAGTTTATAAAATCAAGTCTAACAAGCACAACACTTCTTCAATTTCAATAATCGTTTTATAAAATCTATTTTAATTCAAAATGGTATACTCTGAACTTAACATAAAAGTTTTAATTTCTTTCCTTAATCAGGTACTTACTGAAATAAAAATTAACAGTTAACAGTAATAAATAACAAATAACAGTTATTCAATAAGTCAATGATGCGAGATCATTCTCACGTATTTCTTTTGTTTATCTTTATACACTAATATTGCACTAATTACTCGTATAACAAATAATCGGGTGTTAACCGGTTACTAAAAACTTATTATAAAGGTACATCACATTGATGAATTCTGAATTTTAACTGCAATTTCCAAGAAACAATATAATTTCCGCAGCAAAGGATGACGATGAATGACATTTTTTTTGAAAGTAAAAACTCAATTCAGCACTTTCTACTGTTAACCGTATAAAAATTTCTGGCCATAAAATATTTTCTTCTATTCCAATTTTAAACACTTGAATTTCCTGCTGTAAAAACGCATGTTTTGCTAAGCATGCATTCACCTTTGAGCATGCACATATTTTTTTAAACCTTAACTGCCTCTATAAATAAATAAAAATATTTTAGAAGTACGTTCAAATTCATGAAATTGGAGGCGTTTTACCAATGACATTTTTTTTTGTCACGCCCTAATGCAGCCGCCATTAAATTACTAGTTCAATGCGTAAATAGGTAAAAAACGACTTATTTTATGCAATAGATTATTATGAACCGAACCGTAACGATTATCATAATTCAAAGTACTAATCAAAACTAAAGGCGTAAAACAAATTATACATCTTGAAAAGTTTACTGAAATTACGTCAGCACAAGAAATTAGTTCTTGTGGCAACATGAGAACATTCAATATATAATTTATTAATACCATTAATCTCAATTTGGCACTATCATTATTTCGAAATACTAAACAAGCGACGATTTTCTTACCTTACTTTCAATTGTTTCCTTGAAACTCCAATAAAAAACCAGTCTTAATAAAATGAAAATTTCAAACTAGTCTAAAGATGAATACCGTCATGGTGCGAAATGGGCGCAGTCTTGTGCACCACGGCATTGAACCCGTTGTGTTTATCGGCGGTATAGTCCACTGTGCGGATGGAGCCATCAGGCTCTACAACTGTGTACTGACCTGAAATTTATAATGAATCATTTGCACCCTTAGTGTAATAAGGCCACATCAGGAAAATTACAACTTTTCAGGAGCTCTCTCCTGAAAAGTCTGAACATAACGTCTGTCCACACTCATAGGGAAACGTTGAACATTCTTTCAAGTATTTAAATTAATCAAATCGCAACTTTGTCGTAATAAGCCTATATGTGCAAAATTATAACTTTTCAGGAGAAAGGTTTAATAATTCTACGTACAAAACTAATCTATAACTGTTTTATGCTTATATGCACTGGCCACACAGGAGGTCGCGAGTCGGCCGCGCTTTTCAGTGTGGCAGGGTTCATATGAACTCGTACATTACAAAAATTCCCACGCCCGGAACGCTTCCGCGGCCGCCTCTGTGTAGCCAGAGCATTAGGCTTGATTCATATGAGTCATAAAATTTCATATATGTATTTCTTATGTATATAATATATTTTTATAACTTTCATGTGATAGAGGCACTTTTGACGTATAAACACATGCGGCTTTATTATACCAACGGTACGAATTAATTTTTTAATTTATTACTTGGTACTCTGTACTCTTTGAATCAATCCGAACATGAGTGTCCTCTCTCTCTCCCTCTACTCGGTGGCTCTTTACTGAGGATCGTAGTCACTTGATTTAAATGTACTTACTATTGGTCTCTAATAATACTGTTCCATAGTAGCCACGGTTTAGCCACCTTCAATATGATAAAACACCCTCTTGATCATCGACCACGTGATCGTCCGCTCGATATCTTCTCAAATACCCTACTTATAGAGGCCTATAACTTCCAAGGCCTCAGGCCATGATGTTGCATACAATGTCAGCGAAGGTCCACGTTTCTCTTCGAAGTTTGTTTAACGAAATGTACTTGTAAATTCAAGAAATTTAAAGTTTCCTGGTCTGGGCTGGAGAATTGAATCACAACTCTATGCGTGCATATTGTTGTTGGCTACTAAAGGACTTCACAAAAATTATTACCTTTGACAACATCACCGTCGCGTGACTCGTGATGCGTCTTAATGTCTCCCGTGTGGAAGTCGTTCACTCCGTATTTGAACACATACTTGGGATAAGCCTGTAATAATTATAAAAATAATGATAAATTTACGACATACTCCTTATAACAACCACCAACACATTTAACGACTATTTTTACGTATGCCAATGTTAAATAACTTAACTATCAATAAACATTTGTTACTATGCAATACGAAGCCTTTTTCGTAACTTCCAGTGGCCATAGAATTACGAGTATCTAGATCAACCACGCATCTTCGGAAGTACGGTGCCCGCGCAGTGAAATTGTCGAGACACGTGCGCTTACGCAATCTACTTCCTCACACATGCGACGAGCTATGTTAAAAGATTCCTTCCCCTTGAATTAAATTTTAATAGAAATACTTCTAACTGCTAATTCTTTTTATTTATTTCATTATGTTAATTTTAGAATGTTTGCTAGTCTTTTACAAGCACATCGTAAAAAAATAATAAATATATTATAAGATAAATAAATAATTTCTGCAAAAATACAACTATTTATTGTTTTATTAGAAGAAAAGTGACAGCATCTAAACAGTTAATAAAAACAGTAATAAAAACATCAGCCAACTAGTTCCAGACAACACCAGCATTAAACAAAAATGAACAGTAAACAGTATGTGTTAGAAACAAGTACTTTCATAAACAAAACAATTTAATCCCTGCGTCACAGTCATCAATTACTCAATAAAATATAGTAAAATGTCTGTGAGTTTACGCTTTAGAATATATTGAATATATCAATAACCAGATCATGATTGCTCTGCAGACTGTAATAGTTTGGATTACAAACTCTACAAAGATACTTATTTCCCGCTTTTATCTTAAACCACCGACGACGTTAGCTTTGTGCTCATGTCATGTCACTGTACGCGATGGCGCAGGAAGTGCCTATGACAATTCCTGTTCACAAGCTGTTTACGTTAGTGACGTAAAAAGCGTTACTTTTTATTCACTTGTTATTCAGTTATAGTAATTACATACAAAGAATGGACGTAAATGTCTAATTTCTGCGTAAATATTGTAGATACGCTGTAAATTTGTAAATCTATAGAAGGAAAGCTACGGAGTACAACTCAATAGTTTTAGCATATTCCGGTTATTTACAATCTGGGCCCCAGAGTGTCTTCCAGAGAGAAGTTTAAAGAAATCAATATTATTACACAGTAATACAGTACATTTATGGAAATTTCATTTAAGCTTTGAAGATATTTTTATGAAAAATAGTGATAAATAACTTTATAACAAAAAGGAATAAAAAATAAACGGGCCGTTCTTGCAGCTTTCCTACAATGTCACAAATACAAAGGTTTTCATATACACTTTTATAAATAATTTCGGGCAATGTCTAAAATACGTTTGCGTGGTTTAACACTATTGTAGCGGACTATATCAATGGGTTAAAGGGTGGGTGCTAACAAAGAGTGAGCAAGGCCAAGCAAATGTACTTACAGTTTATTAATTTTTATTACAAAAGACCACATAGCTATCAAAGCAAAACCGCAAAACCTAGATTAAATCAATAAAAAGGCGCCAAAAATAAACACATTTAAATTTAGAATTTAAATATAAAACTAAGCTTAAAAAAGACTGTATTATAAAATATACACAAAGAGATTTGTAGCGATTCGCTACAACTATGAAAAAAATCTTTACACTAAAGGATTATTATTCAGCTTCTGTGCACTTAGATGACCCGTAATATTGACCCATTTAGATCTGACATGTTGTCCCAGTGATCTATGATATTTGAAACAAATATTGTAAATGGTAAATTACGAATGAATTATTTACAAAGAACAACCTCTAGAGTTTCTTACTCATTCTTCTCAAGGGACTGAGCAGTAGAGTTTAATGAATGTACTTAATGATTTGTGTAATTTACTTACCAATGAAATAAAAATTATTTTAGTTTGAGTTTATATGATAAAAAAGTGTGATTAGAACCCATCTGTTGCTTCAGCTGTATTGAAAAAGACAATCATAAAGACAATCAATCAAGATCAAAAACATTTCGCCAGCATGACAGCGCAATTAATTGTGTAGGTAAATGTTTACTGTTAGATACTGAACCAATCTCATAACCATATGCCACAAGGGAGCCCAAACTGGACTGCAGTATGACACGCTTTCCATTTACCGTAAAATGTCTCTATTTGCTCATAATTACGTCACTTTTGTACGTCTCTAGAATTTCCTACTTTAGAAAATGTATGACTTGCTTACTAGCATATTTGCCACGTTTGCCCAGAATATGGTGGACAATTTTTACGCCCCCTAATAAGCATTAATGGACTTTTAAAGACAAAAAGTCCAAAAATAAACTAGTGGAAACTATTTTTTCAAGATGCGAGTATTCTAAACCTTGTAAACGTCCCCAATTTTATTTTAAGAAATTGTATTTTAATCTATTATAATCGTGTTGAAATTTTAATTCTTAGCTTGCATTTTATTTTTATTTTATGAATTATGTAATGTAATAGTATTTATGCTTAAGTAAGTGATTGAATTAACATTTTATTATTATTATTACACCTTTGCTGTTTTTATTGCGACAAAAACGAGATCTCTAAACTAAGAGATCTAGATACGACAAATTATCATGGCAAATAAACTTATTAGTTAAACTTATTATATAGTATCTATGTGATTCATCCAACACAAACTGTCATTGCAAGAACATTTTAATACCTACATGTGTAAACTTTGATTTTCTTAATGTTATTCTATACCATAGATTAGAGACTACCTTCACCACTTATAAGAACATATGGATATTGTAATTTCATTTCAATTGTAGAGGTAGAGGCGTGAGCAAACTACAGTGATTCATAATTTTATATATGGACAAGAATCCAATGTTTACTAATGCTATTTTATTTTTTACTATTCAAATGTACGCCAAAAAGCCGGGTGTTTACAGCTACCAAATATCACGAAAAATTAACCGGCTAATTCAAAAGATTAGCGTATCCATCCTCTAAGGTAAAGGTTTACTTTTCACCTGTCGAAAATCCTGTCAGTCGGCTTGTCTATACAATTGTAGAAGGACCAAGAGGTTTATTCAGGACTACCTGTCGTCTGATGTCGTCTTTTGTCAAAAATCAAACTAATTTTAAATTTCTGTCAATCTAGTGAGTTTGTCTTTGTGGCTAGTCAGGCCGCTGGTCGCTAATGGAGCCAGGACGCTGGTTGATGAAACCGGTTGCAACACTCACTGTCTATAAATCAACTTCTAAAGTAACAAAGAAACTTAGAACATAAGCATTGAGCTTTCCATCCATCAACTTACATAATAATCCAAATGTTCATCCTCCGAAATGTGGTCATAACCAAACCGGGGCTGGGCACGTTGATACGTTTCAGCAGGATGAGTGTCTGCCACCGGTCGAATATAAGTGAAGAGCCTGGCTTGCGCACACGCCGCTACTGCCAGAACTATTAATAACAGCTGTAAAACAAATCAGTACCTTAAGAAGTGTCTTTAGTCTTTAACTGCCTCCATGTCCGAACGGTTCCCATGCTGAATTACCACGCAGCGGTCCCGGATTCAATTCCTGGGCGGGTGAAATTTCTGTATGGCCTACATTTATGTCTCTCGTGAGTTTGGGTTTAATTTGTGGTTGTTTATGTGTGTGTCCAAGGCGTGAGCGATACAGAGTTTCCCTAGTGTGGAGCTATGAGTGTGTGCGTGTTATGTTATTATTATTCTCTAATAAAAAAGTACTTCACAAAATAATTTTAAACATATACTTAAAATGATTATTAAATAATATATAGTTATTATATATCGCATACAGAAATCAGTAACACAATAGCATAGCGTTTTTCACCTTTTTTCTGCATTTCCGACTATCGAGAAGATAATGCAATCAAATATTACGTACGAAATTAATCAATTACCGTTCAATAAATTAAATAGACAAGCATCTGGCATAAAGACTTTTTATCTTCCGCAAATGTGCACGAATACTTAATAATACGATGCCCGACGATAGAGAGTGACGGCAAATGAATAATTAACACTTTTTATTACTAATTAACGTAAGAATCAATACATCTTGTAACAAAGCGATCGTTTTTTATTTTCCCACAAACTTTCAGTTGTTCAAGAGTTACGTAGAACTTGTTTCTTGTCGGTTAACACATTACGCGTAACTTTTGTTTTCACTCGTCGATAACATTGTTTTATTGTGTGACATTGGGATTTTCTTTAAGTAACTTGCGTAACAGGGAGGAGTCGTTTTAGACAGTCTTGTATATTCTTTAGGCAGCAGGTTTATTTTTTCCTATAAACAAGGCAATGAATACCTTCACCGAGATATCATATTAAAATCCTTTGGAAACTGCAATATCATTCAAATCTTTATCAAGACACTACAATCTACCTAACTTTTTTTAAATTATTTTACAAACACAATATGCACTTACCCATATATACATTGAGTAGAAAATCATGTAGGCGTTATAGTGGTTTCAATATAACCCATAACCCAATAATTCAACTATGCATTATAATAAAACTTAAACACCAAGTTCAAGGTTCAACCGATATAACTTAGAAAGGTCAAATTACTACAAAGTTCAAACTTGCGGTCATTGGCTCGAGTTTATTCATAAGAGGATTTGACAAATTGAAAATTAAATTTTACTTAAAACCTATTAATAAATAAATATAATTTAGTTGTCAAATGTAAGACCAGAATCGAAATCTTTGAGAATTTAACAATTTATTCATTCACACGATGATGATTATTTATGACGTCACAAACATAAGGTCGCAATACATATTGACGATGAAAAGTGACAAAACATCCCTCAACCACTGGCTTTAACCATTGATATATCTGAAATAAGCTAGACATCGAGAAATATAATTCAAATGGCGTATTTATTTTACATCTAAATTTAAAAAAAGTTTTAACGACATCTTTGAATATTAGTAATGTATTTTAAATATTAGCCTTCGAAGTAGCTTTAGCGCCGTCGTCTACGTAGTATATCGAATGTATGTGGTATATAACAATTGTACCATTACCGTAACGTATATTTTGCAGGATATTAACAAACAACTTTTCTTTGAAAACTAAACTGCATGGTTTAGTATAATCATATCCTTTTTCACCTTTATTCTTGTGTTGAGTACTTAATAAATAAAACAAGATATAAATAAATGTTTACTTATCTCTTAATTAATGAATTACAAAATTGTTTATATTTTTCTTTTTATTAAGTAATAATTTACGAAATATAATAATTCATTCTTACCTTACAAACCATTTTCTCCTGAAAATTTAATTAGCACAAACACTGCACCAATACCTGTATCAAGTTAAAAAAATAACGAAGCACACGTTTCGGAGGTCGTATGTGGAGTGTACAAGGAGAAATTGTACGGAGAATTTATATCATTACAGGGTGGTGGGCGACGGCGCAGTCTATACAAAAAAATCTCATGTTAAGTATGATGCTCTTTCGATCGTCTTATCGAGATTTGTCATTTGTCTCATAAGCATTTTTAGGCAAATTTTATTGTAATATATTTGTAAATAACGTATATTGTTTGAGATTATTAGCGTAAACGTAATGTACCTAACCCAAATTTTTTTCTTCTATATTACTTTAAACAATAATGAAGTAAATAATTATTTTATATTTGGATGCTATTTCCATGTATATAAAAAATTTCTAATTATTAATAATAATTGTTAAAATTATTATTAAATAAAAAGTATTATTGTAGAAGAAAAAAAATAATGTGGGTTACTCCACTTTTGCGCTGATAGCCTCATTTATGTATGTATTTTTTGTTACATATAGTAAGCAAAATTGAAATTGGATTCTTATAGAAAATGATAAATGAAATCCTTAAATATTTTGAAAAAATAATAGTTCTTTTGACAATATTTAAAAAATTATATTATGACGTCATTTTATTTTATTATAAATTTCTCCCTTTACATTAAAACAAAATGTATATTAATATTATTAACATACAAAAATACCTTTTTTTTATCTCTGTTCCGAAATTCATGTTTTGTTGAAAGTCACATCTTGAAGTGTCTTAAAATGTTCTTTTATAATACGATTACTGGATAATATTTAAAAGAACTTCTCGTGACATTATTCACAATATTTACTAGAAACACTAGAATAAACGAATGCTAATGGTGTTGGCGATTAGTGTGTTTATATGTATTATGTATAGCTAGCGTTTTTTACTACTTAAATAGCGAAGTAATTAAAAACACTTGCCTATCCTTCTTCCACCCTATTGTGTGTCAAATTAACTTACTCATTCACATCCACTTTTAACTATTGGAAGCAAAATGCAAAAATGACAATAATCTATTTCAATTAAGCAAAAAAGGACGTTTATTAACGCCGATTAAGTATTTAAGTTATCATTACCACAGTTACGAGACTCAACTAATTATATCACGAATAATAATTAAGATTACAAAGATAACCTGTATTTATTGACGATAAAATTATATGTAGAGATGTTACATTACACTGAGTTCAAATTTCACTCGTTGTAAGAAACAAAATAGTAATAGGCAAGTATAGTAATAACATTAACACGAATGGCAGAGTTGAAGTTGAATTTTGTTTATATATACTTTTTCGTTTTGATTATTGGCAGTGCCTTTTTTACATTTTACCAATATCGAGTTTCCCGCTTAGTAATTTATTATATAACACTGGCGAGCGGATCATTTTCTTAAATGGTAACGTTACAGTTAAGTCTCTGTGACTTTAATACGAGTTTATAAACGTGTAACATATCTAGAAACTCACAAAATCATTGCATGTAGTGTTATCAGATGCATGCAACATTGGAACGGTGACTATTGAAGCATACACTGAAGTGCTCAGTTCCCTGTTCAACCAGATCATCACACCTTTGGATTATTTACTGAGAAATTTAAGTTATTAAAATAAATAAATATAAAATCAACCGTGACCATGGGACCTGTAAAGGGCCCGAAACGTGGGTTTGTTTGAAAAAACAAATATACGCGATTTAAATCCGGAAAAATAGTTTCATTCCTAAATATAAAATATTTTTTTTATTTTTAGACTACTAAAAATCCATAGGAATTAGTAACGCACAACTCACATACTCAACATAGCCCCGCACTAGGGAAACCCTGTGTCGCGGGTGCCATGGGCACACACTTAGACAACTACAAATTACACCCAAACTCACGAGAGAAATAAATGCAGGCCATATAAATATTTGTCCCGGCCCGGAAATCGAACCTGGAACCTCTGCGTGGCAGTCCAGCATTAGGAAGTTAGTAACATGACACACCTTTTAATTAACACTATTAGTGTGATTACAGTACATTATACTATACCCGCGTTTTAGTTACTGGACGGCAGTATAGTAAACAGGTAATACCGAGCCGTAAAGGAGCTCACAGTCTCATTTGTAGAAGTACATTGATATAGTGATTATAGTTCATTCAGTTCATTATAAGTAACACAATGAAACTGGGCTTGTCATTAAAAAGGTTAGATGAAGTATTTGTATAAGTAATATAATTCTAGCGCAAGAACCTGTATAACTTTTTAATCCAAGTATCATGAATGTCAACTGTTCTGCATCCATTCAATTCTATTATATTTGTTTATAATAATTAAAACCATTTCTTTCTTTAATTAATTTAAAATCTATCATTATTACAAAGGTCGAATGCAAAGAAAAATACCAATCCACGGCAACAATATTCACAAAAAATAAACTAATATTATGGTAGTAAAACGCCATGGTATTCAATAATTATTACCTTTTTTATAAAAAAAAAGGAACCAAATTCAGAAGTTTGTGGAATTTATTTGCCAAATTTTATTGAAACTGTTAGCGGAAAGTGATTGAAATCCAATATTTATCTGCATTAACTTTTCTCAAAAAGTGCCGCGACAACAACATAGAGTCAACCGTGACCATGGGACCGCCCGAAACGTCGGTTTTTTTGAAAAAACAAATATACGCAATTTAAATCCGGAAAAATAGTTTCATTTTCTAAATATCGATCTTTTTTTAGAAGTAACTTGTAATGTTCTGTATTATGTATACCGCCCAGTATTACAATACTAATCCAGTAGCATACTCAAGTGACAATGGTATAATTGAAAAATAGTTATACAAACAAAGTCATTTTAAGCGTATGATAAGAAAACGGGAAAAGGAAATTTTTAAATGGTCCGGTCATGTGGTAATAAAGGATAATAGGATACGTCGTGGTCTCTGCCTACCCTAAAAAACCAGGCGTGATGTAATGTAATGTACCACATGTCATTACCAACCTATTTGTACGTCACACACTTGGGCACGCGTCTCCTCTCAGGTGAGGGTTTAGGCCATAGTCCGCCATCCTGGCCCAATGTGGTTTGGGAATTTCACACGTTTTCGAGGGTTGTGAACCTTCTTCGACATGCAAATTTCATCACAACGTTTTCATTCACCAGAAACTCATGGTAACTTTCAAATTAAATTTCGCACATAAATTCCGAAAATCTCAGAGAACTGGGCGCCTAGATCCAAACCCACGGCCTCTACTTGAGAGTAAGTCAAACCAGTAGGTTACTACATGTACCTACGTACATTTTATTCCTATCAAAATATGACAACTATTCTTCACTTATAAAGGCATATTGATAATCACCTACATTTGAAAATGTTACATACAGCGACAATATGTCACAAATATACGAGAAACATTGCGCAAGAGCATATCGGCAACCCACTTTCCTCAGTTCGCCTAATTATGTGACAAAGCTGTTACATAGTAAGTTAGTGTAACACCAGTAATTCACCATAAATACTTGAGATTATGGAATATGTTGCACCATCATCACTGAACACTTATGGTGCTATTGCAAAGTGGGACATGTAATTCATATTTTATGCTTTATTAACAAATATGTTAGCAGATGTAAATGAAAATACGTGGTTTTTTTTATAATATCAAGTGACGGGACGAACAAGTCGTGCACCTGATGGTAAGCTGCACGCCTGTCCTTAACAGTTGCTGTGCCACTCAGAGCTTTAAATCGCAAAGATCTGAGGGACACTGCCACCGCGCCCGTCACTGTGAGTCATAAATTGACAATCCCATGTCCCTTCAAAACCGGAACACAGTAATGATGACATTGCTGATTGGCGGCAGAAATAGGCAAAGTGGCAGTACTTCTCTGGACGAACTCGTTCACGAGGAGCTCTACTGCTACTTCTGTAGTACTTAGAGAGAAATATCTGCATATAAAAATTATGTTCGAAAGTTAGATATTTTATTCTTAACTAATTTGTTTGAACTTTTTATTTAGCCTGTTCTCAGAATTTTATAAGATCGGATAAAGTACAACCTATAGTAACACATTAGCACATTTTTTAGACAGAAACCTTAGGAGTGTGGTAAATTTTTATTAAGACCGTTATTTAATACTTAATACCTAAACCATTTGATCATTTGATCTTTTGGACCCTGTACGGATCCCATGGTCGCGTCTGGTCAGTCAACCGCGGAGTAATTGTATCATTCCCAACGTATAACAATGGCGAAAACTTAAAAAATGAACTTATACTTGGCAGGCGAATTATTGCAATGTACTTAATACAAATGAACGCTGTTTCACATCTCTTATACATGTTCCCTAAGTCGCTTTCTTGGCGTCACGCACCGGAAGATTACAAAGAATACGAATACTTAATATATGTTCATGAACCACTGTGTTAAGAAAAAACATTATAAGTAAATCGTGTACTCTTCAGTTTCCGCACAACATCATTCAATAGTATAATCTTTGTTTTTTGTTTGCAAAGTTTACACTGTATACTTACATTAATTGATTTAAGTTATAGACAACAATATTTACAGAGACTGGTGCCTGAACTAGGTTGATCTTGTATTTCAGGTCGCCAGGTCTCTACCTTCGTAAAAAAATTAATAACATTATACATATAAGTACAGGTAAAATAATGAATGTTTGTCAGTCAAAATTTAAAATAAAGACTGAGTTACTTAAATAATTATGTTAAATGATGATGATGAAAAATTATGTGTGTGTGCGTGTGTGTGTGCGTGTGTGTGTGTGTGTATGTGTGTGTGTGTGTGTGTGTGTGTTTTCGCGCGTGAGTGCGTGCGTGCGTGCGTGCGTGCGTGCGTTCGTGCATGCGTGCGTGCATGCGTGCGTGCGTTCGTGCGTTCGTACATTCGTGCGTTCGTGTGTGCGTGCGTGTATACGTGCGTGCATGCGTGCGTGCGTGCGTGCGTGCGTGCGTGCGTGAGTTCGTGTGTGCGTGCGTGCGAGCGTCCGTGCGTGTTTGCGTGAGTGTGTTTATCACTATTCACAACAATGTTTTATTTTTAGACCTCAT